ATCCAGCAGAATAAGCATTGTTTTAGTGTTATAGGAAGAAATCAGTAGAAGGCATTAGTTCTGGTAATTTTGCAATAAAGCGAGTATATTAAGAAATCACTCTTTTATCACTATTTGAAAATTTGCACAGCTCTCTTCTAACTGTTTTGTTTCTGTTACCTTCGCTAAGGCGTTGTAGACAGATCGTATTGTCCTTGACTAGATGCTGACAGATTAAAAGGATGCATGAATAATTAAACAAACTCTTTGTTTAAACTAAACTCCTCAGTGGGAGCTGTAAGTGTTTGGAAGGCTTTTTCTTTTGTGTTGATGTTCACAGAAGCCTTTCCTGTCTTCCTGCCGCAGTGAGTCAGAGCGGGAGTTAGTCATATTCCTGATTTAAGTCTGAGGGAATAACTCGGTATCAGTACAAACATCAGCATGGGTATTGTCTGTCACTGGGTATGATGTGGGTTAGTTTGAAAGTGACAGTGCAGGGCAGATGATTAAATGTTAAGGCTATTTTTAGAACGGCAGCATAATGCTGCAGCTTGATATGTAAGAGCCTTCCCCCACCACGTAGCTGATCTGAGAATGCAGTGGGAATAATCTCCAGCTCTCTGACCTGTTAGTTTGAAGAGTCACCCAAAATAGCATGTCTTGTTCCTTCACCCTGCCTATGTCTCTGTACTGGGAGACGGGGGTCAAAGCAGCTGTTTGCTTGATTTATGCATGTCAGCAGATGTCCAATTCGAGTTATGTTTTGAATGCTGCAAATCAGAAGCATCTGAGTGTAACTTTATATCATAGGGCCACCCATGTTAACCTTAGCTCTTGCAAAGACCCCGAGTACTTTTTGCACACCGAGGAATTCTGAAGGATTCAAGTCCTGGTTGTGTTCAGAGAGAACAGTCAGTCTGATGCTTTGCTTACAGCAAGTTGTCCATTTTTTGTATTGCTCTATGCATTACAGAAACAGATGGTATTCATTTATCTTTCTCTATTTAAAAGTTTTTTTGTATGTTAATTTTCTTCAATGCAAATTGAGCTAAGTCACTATTGTGTTTTTTGAAGATTGCACATATTCCAGTGGTAAGGAAAACAAAGGAGGTCACCTAGACTAGCTACGTGCCAAAAGCCTTGGACCTTTGTGTCCCATGAGAGCCTGTTCCACGCTGTCAGTAGGTTTTACTGCCTGTTCAGCTTCAGTTTTACCTTTCCTTATTCATTCCACTATGTCTAGCCTTTGTTCCCCCTCTAAGGACTTTTAATTTCCCTAATGAGTATTGAATCTTCAAAACATTTGCACGCTAATTCATTTGACTGAAATTTAAAGAAGAAAATAAGCTCTAATAATGCAAACCCCTCATGTCCTGATTATAGCATTGTCAATGTTCTCTCTGTATGGTTTTTCTGAGGGCACATACTTTGAGATGTTGTCCCCCACCAAGCTCATGGGGAAAGGAAAATTGCTCCTATAGGGCAAAAAGTATGTCCTACGCTTCTGTCAGTTTGGGGGCATACTGAAAGCTAATTTAATCTGGTATTTCTCTATATAGATTGGCACATGGAACAATTCCTCTGCCTCCTAGTTGTCCTTGGCCATCACTAACTTTTTCAGTAGCTTGATCTGAAGATTCATTTCTTTCCTAAAGCAAGATAGTTACATGAGGGACAGTCTCCCTGGTCTGTACCATGCTTCCTTGCTTTCCATTCTCTTTCAGAGTTCTCAGTGCCTGTTTAATGTTCAAATGCTACAATTGCCTCCCAAAGCTTGCATTTCAGAGAGGATTATTTTTTCCTGTTGTACCGTTTGTTGTTTTAGTAATGAAGGATGAGGTACCAAAAATAATTGATTCCCCTCTTTTCACTGATGGTGTTTAGGGTGAACCTGCTAGGCTGAGCATCAGTGGCTGCTTTTAAAACAGTTTATTTCCCTAAGAAACAGCTGTGTGTAATACATTGTTCTAGTTTTAAGAGGCCTTCCTGGTTTTGTTTCTTTTTTAGAAGTCGCAGTAGGATTACAGGACTGCTTGGGAAAAATTGAGTCACTTCCTGGCTTTTTCCACTGATCAAAATATCCCAGGGAGGGCCAATAAATAGGTGGAGGGGTAAAGAGGAATATGGCTTAATTCCAAATTTTACTGGGCACTTAAGAGGCTCACTTGGAGGCAGTGCTGACTGTTGGGGTGTATTTTTGAGGCAGTTGCCAAACCGCTTTTAATTTAATTGGGACCAGCTTTTCCCTAATTGGTTATTTTCTCCTTGGTAGAATACTTGTAAAGTAAATGGGTAAGACCAAATACGGGTTAACGGAACAGATTCTTAAGTGTGTCTGCTACATTTACACTTGTCCCTCTTCCGTGAAAGTCAGTGTTTGTTTTCCACTAACCTCAAAAGAGAGAGAACCTAGATTGTTCCGAGAGTGTCTGAGCGGCAGGGAAAAATTAAGAAGTTTCAGATACTTTTTTCAGGAGACAAATAAGTGAAGATTGGTACAGATCGAGGTTTTCAGCTAACCTCTCGTGGCCTGTACATGGCCCACCCAAATGGTACTGCTAGCTCCTAGTTACTTCTTGGAAACCTCTTTCCCAGGATCTGTTCAGGAGCACCCACGCAGGGGGCTGTCGGATGAATGAATTGTTTCAGTAGCAGCCAGCTGGTGGGTGGGGGAGTTTCACTTCATTATATGTCTAGGCATATGTAATGGGGGAAATAGGCAGCTATCCCCAAAATATAATGGGCTGGAGCGATTTCTGGAGTGATTTATGTCACCTGTACCAGCTACTTCTGCTTTCAGTTGCTGGCAGCAGCCTTTGGTGCCAGAGGGCACACAGAGGTGCACAGATGGCAGGATTGGTGCTTGAGAGAAGCAAAGGCCCTCTTCAGTGACAGACAAGTGCAGGGCCCTCTGATGAGAGAGGCTGTCCAGCACTGCTGGAATATCTCAGGCTGTTGTGTATATGACTGTACGAGGTCGATACCCCTATAAACTGGGAGCGTTACTTACTGAACAGCTCTTCCCAGTCAGTGCACACTGATGCAAAAATACTTGAAACTCCTTATGTGGTCCAATGACCACCCTTTCTCCTGGCTTTACCTGTATTAGTAAAGAAATGCTGGGCTGCCAGTGTAGCTTTAGGCAGAGCCCAAAATTACACTTTAGTTGCCAAACTGCAAAATTATTCAGAATATAGTTTGGAAGAGGAGCAGGGAGAGACTGTGGGATCAGAACCCCTGATTTCCTGTAATTCAGTATTCTTTCCTTGAAGTAGAATGTGACTGCTGCCTGAAATCTGCTGCTCTGTAAATATACTTAAATGCAGTTTAATGGTATGCATTAAAGTGCAACATAATCATACAGAAGAGTTTTCTGTGTTTCTGGAAGATCTTGCTATTGTTCTTTCAACCTTTTATTATAAAACTTTATAGTAAGAAATTAATACCTGGAGTATTAATAGAATATAAAAAGCGTTAACACACATAAATCCATAGTGTTATTTTTTTAACCACATATAGCGATGAAAACTGTTTCGTTGTCTTTCAGAGGTTATAAAAAATCTTACGCAGGTTAATGAAGGAACGGTAAAACTTGCATAAACATTGTCAAGGCAAGGTTGGCGATGCTGATTCCAGACAAATGCAAAGTAAAGCTAGTTATTAAACAGCCTTTCTGATTTAAGGAGCAATTTGGGTTATCTAGGATGTAGTTAGAATGCAGACAGGCACAAAATCATTCCAGTGAGGAGACAGTGTTAAGAAGCAATGCTTGTAGTTACCTGGTAGAAATGAAAACCAATTCTGCTAATTGAGGTAGCGTTAATGGAAATTTTAATTGTCACTTGAAAGAGAACCACTTTTAATCTGTGAAGGTTACAGAAATGGCTTTTCTGAGATAGTTTATTTTCCAAATTTTGATATGGTAACTAGTGCATTGCTAAAGATTAAATAATTCAACAATACCAAAATGCAGATTGGCATTTGTTAATAAACAAGAGCAAAGAAATCATTAGTAATTGTATATTAGTCCATGAAATAGTAGTAGTAAAGTTGAAACAGTTGCTAGCAGATAAGAGTAGTGTCAGTTTGCTACATGAGCGAACAGCAGTGACATGATTGTCCTTTTCTGTTACCTGTTAGAGAGGGGTCTTCGGTGCCGTCTCCAGATACCTGGCTGTGAAGATGAGCGCGGTGTGTTGGTGAGCTTAAGCGTTCCTCTTGTTCTCGCAGGGAGATGGAGTTTTTGTGGGGTACCTTGCTCAGGCCCGCGCCCAGACTGCTCACGGGGTTCATTTGTGGGACTTCTGTGATTTTCCTGCTTGGTGGCTGATAAACCTGACTGTAGTGCCCTATGGGATGATATGCTGGTTTCTCAGATTTACTATCATCTTCATCATCATCATCAATAATAACTAATTCTGCACGGATAACCCCATCGTATCGTGACAACTTTTGGTCTGCTTCTTCATCATCATCGTCAACGCGCTGATAACCCATGAAAATCATTGTTACTGGTTCAGAATCATCCACGTAACATGGCACAGCTTGGACAACGCTGTATTGAGCATCTTCCTCATCTTGAGGTGCAGGGGATGTTTCATTAAGATGGCAGGGACTTTGAAATCTTGTCTCATTATGTCTTTCTCTTGTATTCTCATAAGGTTTTAATTCTCCATGTGCAGCTTTTCTTTCTTCATTATGTATCATCCTGTTCTCAGGATTAGTGTGCGCTTTATTCTCTGAGTGGGAAAGTACTGGAGAGGGAGACTTTGGCTGTGTCACCTTTGGAAGATCAAGCCCATTCTCTTTATGTTGCTGCATAAAGGGCTCTGTTTTGGAGGAGAATTCTGTCCGATGGTGGCTAAATCCATTCATCTCTCTTCTGTGGGTGTCTTCCACTTTTGGTCCAGGCACTAATTTGTCTTTCTGAGGAGTAACTGGCCTGCAAAATTTATTTGCAAACACAGGCTCGTGATACTCTGTGGGAGACTGGGAATTTTTTTCAGTTGCCTGCCGTAGCAGGTCCTCCACCTCAACAGGAGCAAGTTCATCCATCCCATTTTGTGTTGTGCTGCCATTTGAGGACACTGCGTAGACTGACTTCCTGCCATCGTCATAGACTTTAATTCCTGTCTCTTTAAACTCCTTTGAGGGAACAGGTATTGTTGATAACACTGTGTTTTCCCCTGTCTTCATGTCTTTTTCAACTTTAATTTCCATGGCAAACAATGCTGTTGAGAGAAACAAGTGCTTAAAGTGATAATGCAGCAGCTGCAAGGAATATTATAGAAGAGTTCTGACAGTGACAGAGAATGACTGTCAGAATGAATTATCAAATAAGTGAAATTATCACATATATAACCAATATATTGGATTCTCATTTTGAATGCCCCCTTCCATCCTGTCAAAACTGGAATTTGAAAAAATATATTCAATGGTATCTAATTCTGTGAGGAAAAATAAGCTGTTGAGGAGCCAGTTTTCATTATGTGACTGACCGAGAAAGCCAGATTTAACCTTGGCCCTTTGTGTTTTGCTGGGCAGTAGCAGCAGTTGAAAGAACGTGCTGCAAAGAGTTTTGGGCACTCAGAAGGTCTGGAGGCGTTAGAGTAGTTGGGAAATAACCAGACTGCTTCTGGCTGCCCAGTAGGTGTAAGTGCAGATAAAAAAAAATATGAAATGTATGATATGAAGGGAGGAACTACTTAAACTTACACCAGGTAGAGAGGAACGAAGTGCTGAAAAGAAGTGTCAGTGTTGAAAACACTCAATCCTTATTCTCAATGTGTCCCACCTGTCAGTTTTGATGACCTCACTGATAACATAACACAGCTTAAATGAGAACAACATTGCCCCGTATCTGTAATGTTTATCCTTCCCTTAAACTGTATTAGATTCAATTCATAGGAAGTCTCTCTATATATGGACAATCTTTGGAGTTATTAATAAGCAGTACCTTTTCTCTTTTCTTCGTCATCGGTGGCAGCATGTGCTGTACTCTTCAGCGCAGAAGGCCTGAAATGCTTGGGAAGGTCAGGTATGTTGGTGTATATGTAGTCTGCTGACTCTGAATAAAGACAACCCAAAAAGCATTTAGTATGTTTTCACTGCATTCTACTAGAACATTTTTAATTTTTTTTTTTTTTGACTAAACATACCTTTATCAACTTCTGCTTTTTCAGTCTTCACAGACTAGGAAAGAGAACCATTAACAATAAATGTGATTAGTCAGTTTTAAGATGTTAAGAGGAGAATGCTTTGCTTTACCTGAGAGTTTTAACTTTTTGTGTGCATGGCCTTGTGCTGAGAAGGGGCTAAAAGTAGAACCTGCTCAATTGGAGCATGGCAAGGGAGAAAGTGAAATTTTTCTGGTCCTTTTTTGCCAGTGTCACACAGGGAATGTCAGGACATTACAAAGCATTAATCAGTGACACAGCCTCATGCTGTGGCCCAGGCTGGCTGGCTTTAAAGATTTACAAAGGCTCTACTTTGGCTTTCCAGTTGCTCTTCTCTCCCCGCATAGTTTTAGAGAGAGAGTGTGTGTGTAAGAACAACTGGAGAACTGAAGTTCAGTTTCATTACTCTATTTCTGAGATGATTTCAGATGATTTTCAAGTATCAAAATGACCTTTTGACAAAGACAAATGACTGACAACGACCTCTCTCAGGGACTTGGGGGAAAGCAGGATGCGGTTCAGCTGGGCACATCACCTGAAGGAGCACCAACACATCAGCCTCTGGGCCTGCTCCATACCTGTTACAGAGACTGTCTCTCTGGCTGAGACACAAAGTTGCTGGTTGGTGCCAGTGACAAGGCTGGTTTTATGAGATGTGTGATGGATGACTAATGATGGGAATTGCTCCCACACCCCCATAAACAAGCAAATGGAGACGTTTGGGCACTTGAACAGTATAACATCTTGACCCCTTTGAACTGCTGTCACTTTAGACAAAAGCTCATGACCACTCACAGGATCCAGCTAATTCCCCTTTCCCTGGTTATCATGATGAAAAAGTCATTAATTCAGCTTCTGAAGTAATTTGGCACTAACCTTTATTATGTCTTCTGTTGTTTTTTCAACAGACTTGAGTTTCTTTAAAATTGCTTCTTCCTTAGCTGAGACTTCCATTTCCTCTCTTTCCAGAGCCTCAATTTCCTTCTCCAGCCTGCAATCACAATTCCCTTTGATTTAATACTGGGCAGAGAATTACATTGCAGATTCACCATATTGTGCATATGGACATTAGTGGGGCTTTCTTACAACAAAAGACTTAGCTTATTTTCATTATATGTACAAGTACACATATAAAATTAAGAGACAAATAAATTAAGTCATGAGCCTGGAATCTGCATACTAGAGTCCTACATCTTAATGCAAGGAAGTAATCACATTTTTTGAGACAGTGTAGGAAAGAAAATTTGCTTAGAGATGAGAAAATGCTGTGGGGGCCTATATTCATTTTCTGTTTCCTTCCTGAAAAATAAATTTCAGACACTGTTTTCAAAGTAGGATCAGAAAGAATGTATTGCAGCTATGTTTTTCCTTTTAAAAAAAAAAAAGAGAATACCATTTCACAGGTTTTTTTTATGATGCATGTGCAATTATAAGCTGATCTCATATTAGAGCAAATTTATCTCCTTGTGTGACTGCTTGGGGAGTCTGAATAACACTGTGGCTCTTGTCCTGTTTAAACTCAGATTTGTAGAGCTACTACAAATAATAGGATACTATGTGGACTTTTTTCACTTAGAATATTTTTTTTTTTTTCTGCAACACAAAGGTATCACAGAACTCAGAATTGAGATGTGAAGAAAAATGTATTCAGGAGGAAAGTAAATGCTAAAAAAATATTTAAAAGCAGCTAACATTTTGGACCTGATCTCTGCAAGATGTCTTTACCTGATCAAAGGTACTGATTATAGAGCTAAAATTTAAAAATATTATAATGAGGGGGATGAACATTCTTGGAGGACTATAAAAGTAACTAATGCAGTGACCACATGCCTCATTTCTGCACTTCTTACATAGTAGTATTTCTTTAATATATTGAAATGTCCTGTTTTTACATGAAACTTAATTGCAATATTCTAATGCAAAAATTAATCATTAAAAGCTCACAGAAGCATAATGAACTGAAGAATAATTAACCTTTACTATGGGTTTATTTAGGTCTGGACTCTAAACACTCCTAGGCACACAGGTGGAAGAAGAGGAGGAAAAATCCTGGAAAGGTATTAAAAAAAAAAAAAAAAAGGGGGGTGGGGAGAAAAAGAAAAATGAGGATGGAATTTGACCTAGAGTCTGTATTTTCTTGCATTTTCATATGAGTACCACAGGAAGGTAATAAATTCCATTATACAGATTTGTGGATGTTACCAGACGCTAGATGTGGCTATCATTTACCTTGCTGTAAAATAATGAGATTTAGCAAAGAAAGTCCACTTTTCCAGACATCAACCAGGGGAGTGAGATTTATAAAAAAAAAAAAAAAAAGGGTGGTGGGGAGAGAAAGAAAATACAACCCCCCAAAATCAAAGATTATAAACCCCATATGGTTATCTGAGAGATCAAGAAAAGTATTATTTAAGTTTATATATGCTCTCACACCCATACCAACACCCAGTTTATATGGTAATTAAGACGACTGATTCAGTGCTCAATGGGGTTAGGGAAAAATTCTCAGACCCATGTAATGGGAATTGCATCTAGACCTTAAGTATCTCTTTTGTGCTCGTACTTGCATAGAGACAAACTTTCATGGTTCGTTTTCAGAGGCCGTTGTGAGTGTGCACGCTGGAGTTTGTTGAAAGGAAACTTTCAAAAGATGCAATCTATATAGTTCAAAGAAATCAAAGTCCTTTTGACTTTGTGCAGCTGAAAAGTTAGGCCAGAATCTTTCTGGTGTGTTCAAATCTTTAAACTTCTAAATCAATTACACATTTATGAAGTCACATTGCAGTTTGTATTTATCTTGAAAGGGTCTAGCAGCTACATAGCAATTATAAAAAACTATCTTTCAACAGTGCTGCTGTGTTTTGTTGAGAAAGGGAAATATGACATAGCTACTGGATTAAATCAGTCCTTTGGATATTTGTCCTTTTCTCCTCGAGTAGCGTTTGTTATTTGAGAGGGGAAAATAAGTAGTATGGAGGTGTGGATGAAAGAAGGAACCTTAGAAGCCAAGATATTCAATTGGAAGTTTCTCTGCCAAAATAGTAGCTGAATTAAGAAATTCTACGGGGAACACCTGACTACTGCTGGCCACCAGCTAATCTGCTGGGGTTGGCACCACTGCCACCCCTGAATAAAAATAAACAGCTTAAGAATGAAAAGCAGATAGGAGGCTACCACCTGGAGAACACCGGACAGAGAGGAAAAGGCAGTTTAACAAGTCCTCACATGCTTTGAGGTAAGTCAAATGCTTTTGCAGCTCTGGAGTCCATCTAGCCTTAGCCTGCCTTCGTGTATCGCATTACACACCATTGAATGGATTTTAGTTAACTGTGATGATGTTTGTGCATTTTTAGGTATGCTGTTTAGCAACTGATTCCATCAAGAATGAGTGCCATTTGCTGAAAACTAAATGATAAAACGGGACTCCAAATTCTTCATTCAGCTTGTACCCTGACCAAGGACAGGCTCACTTGGCTTGCTGTAACTTCTGCCATGTATAGAGGCTGAACAGGACAGGTAATGTAAAATGCTGGTTTTGCCTTTAACCAGAGCATTCAGCTATTTGTCTGCACGGTGGTTCAGGTCACTCGCTATTCACTGTTTTGTTGTTGATACAAAGAATAGAACTCTCCCTTTTATAAAAAAATTTTCTAATCTAAACTGACTAGCAGATGTACACTAGCTCTGTTTGACACCCAAGTAAAAGATGTTTCAAACCAGAGGTCCCATTTAGGAGGGTGATGGAAAGGCCCATGCCACTACTGTAAATAATCTGCCTACAATTGTGATTGTCCTCTTGGCAGAAATAAAGACTGGTCTAAGGGTATTCAATAAGTATTTAAAGTGATTCAAATTTTTTCATTGAAGATAAAACCCATGCAGAATAATCATCCTAGTGGACAGAATCTGAATCAAGTGAAATTTAATAATCAGATGCCCAGAGGAAAGAATTCTACTAAGCTGCTCAATAATATATATTGTTGCTGCTGCGTGACATGTGTCTACATGATCTGTTTAACAATCTTTGATTTACAGGGCAGGTGAAAGGTATGACTTCACATATATCTAGTCGTGCAAGCTTTTGTTAGCTTGGGTATTATCTGTAGCATAGGAAAAGCACTGTGCAAGTACTGTATGGTACTTGTGCTTTTTACCACTGTATGGTATTTTGTGCTTTTTAGTGGACTTTGTTGATACTGAACTCTATTATTAGGTTTCTGTATTGCTTCTGTCTGGTTGAAACTGGGCTGGGTATAACTAAACAAAACATAATGGTATCTGGAAAGCAACATGGATGCTTTTCTTAAGACCTTTGCTAGACAGCTTTTAAGGAGTGTGAGGGACTATAATTTATAGCAAAAGATGCTTGATGTGAATAAACCTGCTTAAATTCCCAGTTCAGAGGGAATTGCCCACATGACTCCAGGTATGTTTTTATGCCTCCATTCTCCATCTGTAAAACCAAATGTCCTTATCTGAGTCCTCTGGGTATCATGAAGATAAAAGCTACCGAAGACTCTAAGGCGTGTAGGTTGTTTGGTTATGGAAGTAAGTGTATCAGTAACGAAAAAAATTCTTTTGATATTAAGGCCTTATAAACCTCTAAACTGTCTTTAAAACTTCAGCAATGGTGAATTAAGTCCTCTTAATTCAAGGTGGCTCAGGAATGCAATTAAGAGCATTTCTACACTGATTTTAATTTCTAGGAAGCATCATACTTGCGAAGTTGTTATTGTAAGAGTGAAGACAGGGTGTCATTTTGTGTAATAATTTCTTTGTCAGTTAATCTTTTCATCTTATACTGATGTTATTTGTCTGATTCATTTCACTACAAATAAATCTGAAGTATTTCAGATGTATGTCAAGAAGTAGGAATCATTTTAAGGAGGAAGTAATTTGGTGGAGCTTCCCAGCAGAAGGTCACAGGCAGGAAAACTTTCTTGGTAACGCTGGTACTACCAACAAATGGCTGGGGAAATGCTTAGTTCACCATGAAAAAGATAAATTGCCATGAAAGAGCAGCACATGTGAAAATAAAAGTGGAACCATTCACATGTTCTGTTAAGCAAATGTAGTAAAGCAAATAGCCTTATATTCTTGGAAAAATAATACCATTTTTAATAAGCAGAGAAAGACCAGCAACTACAATCAAACACTGCATTTTTTTCACAGTGCTTCCAGTCGCAAGTAAACTGATTGAATTTCATTTTCATCAGGATTTAAATTGCTGGTTTATGATCAGAATATCAGTCATCTGTAACATTCCTATAGTTAGGCTGTAAAGGCTCAGGCACACATCAAGTGTTTAAGCTGAGGAACCTCCACCTTGTTTGGTATAATGTGTGTGCTCTTAGTCATGTAATGCAGTACTAAATGTGCAGGCTTTCCATTTACAGAATATGCCTACATTAGTCCTTGTAATTATCAAAAAAAAAAAAAAAGAGACAGGCTGAGATGTTACTCCAGGATCCATGTTGTGATTTAAGAAAGCAATTGGGGACAAATGGTGGGTTTGGTGCTTTCATTGCTCCTTCCTTAAAGCAAAATATATTTAGAGATATTTCTTTAAATGACTGTGGGCATCTTTTAAAAGACCTGGAAGCTTCTAATTCAGATAAACTTTAAAATTTATAGCCCCTTGTCAACTTTTGGTTCCAAACTAGAATTAAAGCAGAGGGAATACTCTTTTGTGATGCTAATTTACCTACATAAATTAAAGGAGTTTTTCAGGTTTGAAGCTCTAGTACGGTTACTGTTTTACTATTTGTAACAGTGATATATTCTAGTCATGATAAAAAAAAAAAGATTATATGGCTATATTCAAAGATGTGAAGCTCACTATGTGTGTTCAGTTTTGGTCTCAGAGGAAATAAATGTTAAGGCCACTGAGCTGACGTGGACAATAGTTACAAAAGCAGTATCAAAAAACTCTACAACTGTAGTTACAAACCCAGGACTCTGCAAGATGTGAAAATGACATTAAGTGCGTGAATGATCGGTGAAAATGACTTTATGTACATGAATAATTGGTCCTATTGGCTGACATCTCCAGTATTGTAGGAAGGCTTTTAAGTCCTGTCCCTGCATTCCAAGTCTTCCCAGGCCTATGACAGCAGAGCCCCACTGCCAGTGCTGCTGAGAGACAGCACACTACGATGACTCGGGTGCAGAGAACCCTATAGCTTTGTCAGGAGGTGACAGACTAGATTTAGATGCGGGAGATACAGTACACTTCCTGCTAAAATATTTCACTTTTTGAGGCAGGCAGTATGTCAGCAGTTCAGCAGCTTTCCTTTTCAGTGGCATAGACATTCACAGACCTCCACTATAATAGCATTGCTTGTTCTTTACTTGGGTGTCATCAAATGATCTGGAAAGAGTGCAGATGAAAATAAAGTAGTTTTAAAGATCTCCCATTCTAATTTCTTAGGGCATAATGGAGATCTTGGCTAAAGCTTGAGGTCTTCCTCAAAGTCAACAGGACTTTGAAAATCTAGCCTATCCTCACAATGCCTGGAGAAGGGCTGAGCTTCCAGTGGGCTGGTGGGGAACTACTGGCTCAGCACAACTTCCCCGTTGCTCCTGAGCCAGTCCTTACCCACATGGCTCTCTTTCCTGGTGATCACACTGTCATAGGGACCCCTTTTGCGTGTCTTCATAATCACAACCTGCTGGGATGTTTTTAGAGCACGCTGTCTACATCCTACCACTGCAACAAAGGATTCCACAGAGGTGCGTGAAAAGCTGCTCTGTTGAGAAAAGTGCTTTCAAGCAAGAAGTCAGCATAATTATAGGACAAACTAGCACTAGGCTGCTGCCTGTCAGCCAAGAGAATTATCGTTTGTGTCAGAGAGATGGAGTAAGTAAGGAGGGAAGTGGGTGGGAGATAACTGGAGGAGGTAATCTTGGTGACAACTTTGCCAAAAGAGTGTGTGTAGGAGGACAGTGGGGGAAGAGGAGAGTATGGAGGAAGATGCTATTGAGCTGAAATAGAGGAAGAAGCCTCAAAAAAGATGATGAGACTTTGCAGAATCTAAAGAAACAAGAATGCTTCATCTTTTCTGTGGGGGCTAATGGGAAGTACCAGTCAGTATGCCTGGGCCTAGGTAAGGAGCTGGTTGTGTAGAGAGCCCTGTGATATATGGGAGAGGTGAACTGCATCTAACAAGCACACAGAATCATGTCCATAGGTGTTGTATGTGAGACATGCGGTTTGATGTTAGCCCTACGTGGTAGGGAGGGTATTGGCAATGAGATCTGTAGGAACATCTTTACTATAACAGGCTTCTGGGAGTAAATGGAGGACAAAACAGCATGGAAGAGAAGTGAAAATAAGGCAAGTGATACCAATAGCTCTAGGCAGCTTGTACTGTTCTGGCTTCCTGTGTTACGGCAGAAGTCAGAAGTTAAAGGCTGTGCAGGACCTGGGGAAACCGAAGAACTTTTAAAACCATTTACTGTTACTTTGAAATTTTGATTCAACAATTGCTATCAGAGCAAAGCCCATGTACTGTGGCTTATGTCTATTGAGTGCAGCATAAAAGAGGTATCTGGAAGTAAACAAACAGCTACACTGCGAGATATTTATCATGCAGTTTGATAAAATTCACAGTACAGAAGCTTGCATTGAGTATTCTCTAATTCTAGCTGACTAGAAAATACACCACAGATTGCTTTATTCTGTGTATCAAACTGCATATGTTTATCCCTTGCTGACATTTTAATCTTTTACGAGATAAAGTAGAACTCTTAAGAAGAGACCATTTGAACCCAGCCATAGGACAGGGGTAATACCCTACCTGAAAATATCTTGTTCCAGCTCACGAGTCCGTTGTTGGTCTTCCCGATTCTGCTTTTGCATTTCTTCTTGTTCTTTTGGAGTCAGAGAACTAAAGCCATCCAAGAGCCATTTTTCTCGCAATGCCTTTTTCTGATGGGGGAAAAAACACAGACAAGTAAGTGTACTTTAAAGGTTAGGCTGTTGAATCATTTACTGCATTTTTCTTGATGCAATAGGCCATAGGCATTGCTATTAATGAGCTTTTTTTTAAGTCAATGTCCCATTTTATTAGTCCACCTAAAAAATGCATAGAGGATGTCAGTTGCTACCTGTAACATTAATATTTTTAAGTGGATCCAGTGCTGTGCTTGTCCTCGATAAAGCAAAACAGTTGTATCAAAGTGTATGTATCACAGACTTGTGCAAAAGGCCCCAGTCAGAAGCCCTCTAGTTTTATTTCAGTAGCTCTGATTTCTGGGGTCATGGCATTGCATAAATTCTGGGAGGGAGTATAAAAGGTGAAAAGTTCCTGTAAATAAGCTTGTACAGGAGGAAGAGATCTCTAGGGAGTTAGTGACCCAATCCTGTGTTTGGAGTTTACAAGAATCTTGGGTAATTATGGTAGTGAACTCGTATTTCATCTGGTGAGCATGTGTAGGGTAAGAATGGGATTGGAAAGGTGAAACCTGGGTTGCTGTTGTCTGGTCAGTGTTTCTGCAGGCCTGCTGTGTATTTAGAATTGCTGTTGTAGGGGCAATCCAGGGCTTACATATTTAGGTCCTGACCTGGTCCTGACCTGTTTACTGCCTGTGGAGTTCCTTCTGTACAGTAGTGGCTTATAAATGGGTGTATTGCATGTGTACAGGTGAGTGAATTTCTCTGCCGTGTTTTCAAATTTTGAAAAATATGGCTGTATGCAGTTACTGCTTCCTACAGCTGCCTTAAAATAGGAAAAAAGAGAAAAATAATAAGGGAGATAAGTTCATATTTGTAGACTAGAAGTTGTAAACCAGGCAAAGTTCCTTGCGTGCTTTTTACTCCCTTCAGTCTAACTCGGGAATATAAATCCAGTTGCTGCCTTGGGGAAGAAGTGGGATTCAGGGCTTCTTAGAAAAACTCTTTCAACAGGGGAAAAAACCATGCATGTAAGGTTTTTAATTAACCATGAATTTTCTGTTTGTAATTTAGATTCCTTGAGCCGTCTGATTTCCATGTTAGTTCTTCCCTTTCCCCTCCTGCATTAATTGTAGGATGTGGATGAAGATTAAATTGGATTTTGACTTCTGCTGCTCTGAGGTAGAGCTGTGCCCAGCGCGGCTGAGAGAGCTGCCTTAACCTCAGTGCTGCTCGCAGAGGGTGTTGGAATCCCTGCCAGCATCCTCTGCCTTGAGTCACTTCAACTGTTGCTTCCTACACTGTTCTGTTTACTGTATACTTTATATGAGGTTATTACTGCGGGCAAGCCAATGAAGGAGGGTGCATGTAGGGACCTGACTGCAGTTCGATGCAATTTTCAACTTGCTTGATGTGTGAAATACATGATGTGATAGAAACTGTGGCTAAAATAGGCTTGCTGGGAACTCTGTGGAACTCCACGGTACTTTTCTTTTTCTTCCCCCCGTTCAGAACATAGGAGCAATGTTTACAGTTGCCTTAGCCTTGCGGGACAGTATACTCTCTCTCTCAACAGTGGATTGTAGGAAATCTGTGGGGAAACAAGGGCTGCTCAAGACTGGTGTCCTGAGCCTTGACTCTGGCTGCAGGGTCACGTGGCAGCACTTCCCGGCAGCTGTGTCTTAGGCTCAAGTGAAATAAATGACAATTTTAATAGAATGGTTTTACCTGATCTGGTAAATGCATGTCATGGAATCACAGAATTGTCAGAGTTGGAAGGGACCTCTAGAGATCATCTAGTCCAAGTCTCCTGCTAAAGCAGGACCGACTAGTGGCACAATTCTCATTGACCACAAAATACTGTTTTCTCAAGTTGGAGGGGACACAGTTATCAATTCCCTTTCAATCAAGTTGTTAATTTTTTATTGATAAGCAGAACTCCTAGAAAAGTGAGTTTTTAGTCCTGATTGGAACTGAATTAGTCTAGCATTGCTGTCTCCAAAAACAAATCCATAATTCCTTGTGAGAATTACCGTGGGGCTGGCACTGTAGGCCTGATCAGAAACCGTTAACACCCACCGAAATCAACAAAAGCTTCATCTATATGTAGGGTTAGGCCCAAGAAAACAAACAATGCAGGCATAACACAATAGCGCTATTTTTGCCTTTTCCCAGAATAGTTTGCTGCTGCTCCCAACTAAATGCCGCGTAATCTTTTTAATTTAATTGGCCAATTTTGAAAGAAGGCCACGTTGCATAGTTTGGAAACAGCTTTTGAACAACAGGCCGTTTCAAGGCAGCTCCACTGAGGCATCGGAACAAGCCAGTGCAGGAGCTGCTGCTTTTGGGCCGTCGGGTTCTTTCTGCTGTCTAAGCGTTTCCTTCCCCTGTAAAGTGCCTCTAGCTCAGTACTAGCTCCTGCTTGTGTTACAGCACTTATATGAAAGCACTTCCATTTTGCATTGGGCTTGGTATGATAAGGGGAAGGGATACTTATACATTGTCACGTCATTAGACCCAGGGAATGGCCAGAGTGCTGGAAAGCAATCACTCTCTTTTGTAGTTCACGGTCACATCAGGAATACTGTGACAATATTCTGCAAATTCTGTCAATAATGTCCTGTGTGAGCTCCAGGTGGAATTCCACTGTAATCCTCGAGGAGGCTGGGCTAACACTGAAAGATTCATCCTCTGCTGGAAGACACAGGTGTTTTCAGTTTGTGGGTCTTGCTCTCCCAGTAGTATGGCAGTTCACCTTATGGCATGTCGGGGGAGGCATAAATAATTTTTGTAATTTTCACAGAAGATATAGTTCAACATTAATGCCTTGAATAAGGAGGTGTGTGATCAGCACCTACAAGGTAGCACTAATGGAGCTCAGACACGTCAGAAGCCAAAAACTTAATAAGGTAACCAGAAAAGCTCTTGGAAAATACATGCAAATCAGTGCTGACTGTGCTTTTCAAGTAGCTCTGTCTGGTCCTTTCCCTTGTTGCCTCAGTGAGAAGGGTTCCAGGTAGGAGGAAGATTTAGTTGCTGGTGCATCTAGAATTACTTGAGGGTGACATTTCCCTTGTACCCTCACTAGCAGCCCCCATTTCCCCTTGCAGTTCCTTGAAGCCCTACCCACACGGGTGTCCGTATTTGCTTGCACGTCCTCTGCTTCATGTGGTAGGGGTGCACATGTAGGCAGTAAATATTCCTTCTCCAGTATAGTTCTACTGGATAACTAAGACCTGTTATGATACCTCATCTGTCTCTTTCGGCAAGAAGTTAGCTTGGGGGCAGCCCACAAAGTCATTGGGAAGCTGGAGCAGAGATTCATATTTACAAAAAGGAAGTTTTAAACAAAACAAACAATCAAACAAAAGCAACCGAAACCCCCCCACATAACAAAGACCTTTTAATAAACCTGTTGCTAAGGGTTATAAATAGTAATGAAAGACAAAATGAGGAAGAGGATAATGATATCCAGCTATCAGAAACAGTTATGTGACAGTGAGATTTACTAACCTGCAATAGTTTTCTAAGGGACAGGTGTGAGGAATGTTGAATAGGTCATAGAGCTCTAGATTTCACCGTGCACAACTGGTAGGAGTATAAATGAGTGAAATCAAACTGACTCGCTAGGGAAATGAGCCCTCAATAAAATTTACCGAAGTGCCAAAGCATTTTAGAAGTCTAAAACTGATTTAAAGCAATTTCTGCACTAGATTCTTGTGTTGTTTGATTCCATTGAAATACCTGAATTAGTCTGAAGCAAAAAGGTTCATTAAAGGACAAGGCTTCTAGGGCAGAGGATGTTCATATAGTAATGCTGCATTTGGTATCAGGTCCTTGTCTCAGTACTCAGCTGGAAAAAGAAGTCTATTTTGCACACTCCAAATAGCTAATGATATGTATCTGTTTGTACACCATATGTATATATTTAAATGTATGTTTGATCCCTTCTTGCCAAGTGAATAATTTCTTCCATAGATCCTAGATTTGTCTCACATGCAATATGACTGATATTAATTTAAAAACTTTGCTGTATGATTTTTCACAGAACAGGCAAACAAGTGACATCTGCTGTCCTCTTTGAAAGGAAGAGCATTTCAGTAATATTTTTCCAGGAGTGTTTTAGCTTATGTAAGATTCCATAGAACATCTCCAGAACAAGTGCGAGGTGGCTTTTTGTTTTCATAGCTTTTTAATTCTGTTGTACCTATTAATGTTAGCTGAAGGCATGTACTGGATCTGTAGGGAACCTGCCCTAGGACTCTGCACACAGCAGTAGTGAGGATTAGCGGGCTGTCTAGGACAGATCAGTTTATCCTTCTTAAAAGAAGGGCAAAAGAGTCATTCTGAATTTATAGGCATGGAAACTTGAAACATAAATTGCAGTACTCCATGTAACCGTGTACTAAGAGGAAGACAGTCACATGTTTGCTGCTCATTAGCTACAGGACTTGGAAAAGATATTCCCCTCTATTTTAGGCAAGACATTACACAATTGGTCAAGCCCATCCTTATGGTCACTGCCTTCCGATGAAACTTAAGCATGAGTGAGTTTTGTGTTGGTTTGCCAGGCCTGGTGAACTGGTTTATCATAACTTTTTGGTTATGATAACACAAAAGAGGGTGGATAAAACCCAGGATCAGGTGTCTGTTTTGAAGAGGAGTCTGTTTTAAATATGCTTCTCCCCCATTTGCTCAAGGAGACAAACCATGCTCCTGGTATTGCATTTAACATATCTTTCTGAAACTGTTTATCCACTGACATAATTAAAAGGGTATATAAAATAGCAAGTCTTGCGTATTTCTAGAAGCATAGTCTCATCTCCCTAAATGACATGCCTATTGAAATTTGACATCCCATGTAAAGAACGGTGGTGTTGGGTAGAAACAGATGCAATTTCAAGTGTCTTCAGAATTGGATATTTTGGTTCCTTTGTAATTTGGACTTTGTAATCCTGAATTTACCAGGACACTTTTCAGGACAATATTTGCGTCATTTACGTGGTTTTAGTTAGTTTGGTTGATTCTTTTAATATACAAAGAAATAGCATTATTTTACCAAAGAGTCATTAAACAAGCTGACAAAAGGCTATAGCTAAATAAAAATCAGCTCTTTTTTTTTTTTTTTTTTTTTTCCCCCAGAAGAAAGTGCAATAAGACCTCATGATTGTGCTGCACCCTGTACCAAGTGAGTCTGCTGTAGTGGAATTAAGGACTGAACACACCCAGTCTGAAATGTGAGGCTTAATTTTCAGCTGTGAGTTATTCCTGGTTATGATCTCATTTTATGCCATGAAAGTGATCAAATAACATTAGCTCTTGAGTGTAATTTTTTTCAAAGGGTGATGCTTATTAAAGTTAAATGGATTCCTGGCAAGACTCCAAAAAGCAGTGAAAATTTGACAGTAAAAGCATGACTTAAATGCGTGAAGATTTGCATTCCAAAATCCAAAACCTTTATTCATGCAGAATGACTTGAGGCTATCCTTAGTTACATAAATCCAACACTTTACTTACCTTTAAATGTTGGTGCTTCATTTTTTCCTCTTCCACTTTTAGACGTTTCTGTGTAATTTCTTCTTGCAGTTTTCTTTTGTCCTACAAATTAAGAGAACAATAAAATACTTTTTAGAGAAATTACCTGTTGCTAAAAAAAATTAAGTGCTGTTCAGTAGGGTAAAATCAATCCATGCAAATAAAGCCTTATTTTAAAGCCTATATGGCACTCAGACAGTGCATAATTCTTAGCAGCGACAGCTCCTGTGTCCTATGCAGGTATGGTTTCCATTACTCTTTCTCTGAAGTACGTTTAAACATGTTAATGGCCACAATGCAGGGATGATCCACACTAGAAGTTATTTACTGTTGGGAAGGGTGGGGGAAGAAAACAGGAAGAAATAACATTTGAGCACAATTGTACATGCAAAATGAGGTTAGAAATGGGCCCTGACCAAAATTCCTAAGGCAGCCCACACATCATTTAGGAGAGGAAAGAGTCTGCGTGGTCCACAGTGTGCAGCTGCACAACTTCACTAAATGAAACGGGGTGTTGGGGGAATCCAGCTTATGGATCTTGTGGCTAACAGCTGAAATAGACAGCAATAAACAATGACTTAGAAATTTATTTCATTGTTGACTAGTGATACAGAGAAATGTAGTATGCTTCATGTATGTTGTTGTTACCTCACAATTAAAAAAAAAAAAGATTTTTTTTCTGTGCAAAGGCATTTTTCATGGCTGCTGGACTTTAGAAGGAAAAACCTCAAGTAGTTCTGATCTATCATAGTGCCACCTTTATCCTTTTTCCTACAGATTACAGAAAAACAGAGCTGGGTGAAGTGTCTCTGAATGCTGGCAACACTCGAGCCTCTTGTGTATTTGGATAGCTGCTGTCATATGGAATATCCTTGTGGCTTCTCTCTCTGAGGCCAAACACTGATTTAGTACTTTGTGTCCTCAGCAGCCAGTGGGAAAGAAATCATGCCAAAGGAAACGAACTTTTACAAGCTGTATTAATAGGCTATTCTCTCGGTCAGCCTTAATGCTATAAAATCCTGTTATTGGACATGGCAACTTTTGCACTTGTTCCTTGGTACGTTTTAGGAAAGTAAATTGTATCACCTGTTGTCCTGTGCAGAAATGTTTGCTGACTGGTGGCTAATCCCCCTTTCCTTTCGATTGGAACACATTACTAATAGGTTTGGTGTTGGTTTTTTTTTGAACAGAGTCTGTTTTCAAACAAGTATGGTTTAGGAAGGAGTTAAGTTCTTTACAAACATAGGAAGAGACTTGCCCTTTCAGCCCACCTGAGGAACCAGCTGTGCATGAGGAGTGTAGAAAGTCGGTAAGGAAGTGCTGGGTGTAAGGCTAGGAGTTCTCTGCTGTTTCCCTGGAATCTGGGATTGGGAAACAGGGTGAGCCATAGTGTACTTGGCTGAATCATTTCACTGTTACTGGAAATTGGACATTAGTGGCTGGGCTACAGGCTATAGGGATGCTTTGTTGAAAGATGGGAAGTAGAAGAAACCACCTCGTCTTGTGGAGACTGAGGGCAGGACTACGGGCTGTGGCCAAGCACAACTGAGGGGGTTTGGTAGGTGAATGAGAGTCAGTGATCTCTCTTGCAGTCTGTGAAGTGCAGTAGCCTTCTGTAGACACCATCTGTACTTCACAATTTTTTCTTGATAGTGTTAGTCTATCTTTTTAATATACCAAACAGAGCAGGTAGGAATCTTGCCTCAAGATACGTGCTACCTTCATCTCTGTAGTGGTTTTGATTTTGCCAATGCTCTTTATATTAAAGTTAACAAAACTGCTGATTTAGGAGCACTACAACGGGTATTTTTTCTGCAGTGTCCCTTCTAAGAGATTTTATCCAAGAGCTGCTATGGTGGATTTTACTCAGCCAATCCTGATTTTTGAGGGTTTCTGACCCTCACACCTTTCCTTAATTAGGAAATGTTCCCGATTTCATTATATAAATGGCCTTTGAATAACCCATTGTTAGATGAGCAAAGTGAGACAAAAGCTTGTGTTTACAGATTGTTACAATTCTTAAGAAAACTGCTTTTTTTCTTTACTGAAGTTCTGGATAAGTTCTTTGTCAGAGAATGAACTTCTATTTGGTTTATACTATTGAAAATATTCTAAGTAAATTTTAATATTGTTTTTATACCAATGGAGATCTGTACTAAGAGTTTGGCCACTCTGAAATGAGAAGTGGTAAACAAAAGTACTGTGCAGAAAGAAATTGGAGTGAAAAGGTACAAATAACCGCATTTTAAATTAACTCTGTAATAAGGAACCTATTCAGGAATGAAACTTCTGCCTGTTTCTCTTGTAAGAGGTCTATGTTTCTTTTGCATCCCATATTTTTTCTCTTAAAGTTTTCTACTTGCATCCTTTGGTGTCCCAGCATGTTTTAATTTCACTGCTTGGTAGCAAACATCTATTATACAATTATCCAGATTACAAAGGTTGAAATAGATTGCCTTTTATATATCTAGTCAAATAAAGCTGAAGGTCTAATGCCAGAAGCTAATTTCAAGGAAAGTGTAGGAGGAACCTTTTTGAACCTTGTGTTTACAGAATACTTTTTAAAACCTGTTAGGAGTCTTCCTACAGTGATTTCTGCTATGCTGGGTCTGCAGATCATGTCTTGCTGTACAAAGCTTTGACTATACGTGTAATGGAATGAATGTTTATTCCTAGATAGCTAAGATCCATGGTTCTACTAAACTTCATACTCTGCCCCTGTTGGTAATCAGGGTGCTGGCAGAAGTCCTCTGATCCTCTCTTACTATGATCTTGTTAATGTAGGCAAGATTTGCTTTTTATGAAAGAGCACCTGAGAATCATAGAATCACGTTCATCGCTTTCTCCCTGTTGTGCATCAATGCAAGGTGAGACTTGAGCCTTGGTCCTAATTTTCACTCCTACTGAAACATGTTGACATCTTTCCTGACGTTTGGGCATAGAAAAGAGTTGTGTTCTAAATTAGATCTATCTGAAAGGAAGTGAAACACATCTACAGAGCAGTGTCTTGCTAAGTAGCTTGTGTGCCAAGTTCGTTAGTTTATGACAATGTTCCATAGTGGTGCCAATGTTGATCTGCTTGGTGCCATGGCAGGTGGCATGTACTGTCAAGGCCAATGGAGCAGCTAATGTTTTAGCTGATTTATTTTTGTTTTCATATAATTTGAGAGGTAATGCTTGGTTATTGAGGGGTCTTACAAAGAGGTATGGACACTTCAGTCTGATAGCATGAAACTGCAGAAATATTATAATTCAAAGCTTCTTTCACTTCAGTTTTCTCGTAGAACAGAGGATTTGATGAGGAAGGATTAAGCCCAAGGTTTCTCTTTGACTGTTTTGTCTCAAAATGTTTGCCACAACAAACACTAAAGCTTTTGTATTTTAAAATATGACAGCCTAACAAAATAGATGCATTTCATTTTTCACTTGTTAGATTCTATATACACCAGCAGCAGGTGGAAGCTACGTAACAGAGAAAAGCAGTTACCTCTCAGAGCCATGGGAGCATCAAAACCTTAAAATAATAATAGGGTTTTCCTTTTTTCTTTACTCCATAAAGAAGATACTAAAAAGAATTTGAAAGCCCCTAGTGGCTCTCTGAGAGCAAGTACTGTAAATGAGCCAGGCATTTAACAACAGAAACCAATCGGGTTTTAGTGCAAATGTAGTTCTTTACTGCTCTGAGCAACCCTTGCCATCCTCTGTTAGATTCTTTGCAACATACATTTTGTAGGTAGCACTTGGAATTTCCCACGTTATGTTGCTTGGGGCAAACCTTCCCAAAGCCACTGAGTAGCAACTTGAAGTTGTAATAGTAACGTATTGTTTTCTTAGACAGCTCACATTGCAGATTCTTAAACCTGATGATAACGTCATCTTATTTAGGCTCCTTCATTTCTGCAGTGCATTATAACAAATGAACTGAGTGTTTCAATTAAATGCTCTCAATTGATGAAAGCGATGAAAGTAGAGAGCAAATAGTTCCTTTATGCAGCAAGGGTAGTAAATGAAATCATGGCCAGAGCCCAGATACGATTTCCCACTTCCTGTAATGCAAGACACTGGAAGCTGTCACAGGTCCTTAAAAAAATATCTCTCCAGTGTTTGTCTGGAGGCAAAGGCACAGCCAGGGACGCTAACCCTGGTGCGTTCACAGGAGTCCTCCCCAGGCGAGCTGCTGCCCGGCTCCTGCCAGTACCAGGAAGTGTGGAACATCACAAGGCCTGGCCTTCCCTGGAGCACCCAAACGTTTCTTATCTTTGGAGCCCATACACCAGAGACAAAGTCCGGGTTATGCGCCTGGTTCAAACACCATTACAGTTAAACACACAACTGTACTCTAAACCCTCTAAAACACTTCAAATTACCTTATTGTGGGCTTGATCATGTTTCAAGTAAATATGATAGATGAGCTGGTTGGCTTTTATCAAGTGTCATAATTAAGACCCAGCCAAATTAAAAACCAACCTGTTCAACTCCCATATATTTTCAGTAATGCCTTGTCATATTTATTTTGGTCCTAATAAGGTATTTTTTATCGCTGCTCACCATTTATTCAGTCAGTAGTGTTTGTTTCTCAACTAATCTATCATGCGAAGTGTGAAAATTACCTTCATTCCCATTATTTGTTTTTAAAGATTGCCTGTGATAGTGAGTGATCCTTCTGCAGTTTTTCTTTCATCCCAAAGGGACAAATTTTGTTTCAGTTTAATTCTTTTGTGACTGAATAGGTTTCAGTAGAGATTAAATCAGAGGAGAATCTGGATTCAGCCTTTTTTGTTACATCAGGTTATATTCCTTTAAAAAATAACTCAGTAGTTCCTTTAAAACACAATAAATATTTTGATTCAGATTTCTCTTTAGAAGAGAAACTGAAAATGCTTTCTAATGTCTTCAGCATAAACTTCACTGAGCCCTTTTTTTTTTTTTTTTTTTTCTGAAAACAGACAGGTAGGAATTTGCTTAATCCAAGCTTGTCCTTTTTCACTTTTCAGGCAGCAGTACTTATGCTAGATCATCAATAATTCAGAAATTGTATTTAATTCCACAGTGCAAAACCAAAAATCTTTTATCTCTCAGTTTTGTTGTGAAATGGGCAAATTGATTTGTTCTGGAATTCTCTAGCTGCCTTTTGACCTGCTGTCCTTCAGGCAAACATTCAGCTGCGATAATAGTAATATGTATTTTAGACCGTCCAGTAGTGATTTGCACACATACTTTCACTGCTTTGAATTTAATTTGCAAGTGAAATACCACCCATAATAAAGTCAGCACAGGCAACTTTGCCGTCTTAAAGCAGTAGCTTATAAACCAGAATTTAAAAGTAACAATTTCAAGCAGACATAAGTCTGTTTGTCCTGGGATAAATCATTCTTCAGAAAACGCACAGTAGCTCATTAACACAATACTACTTCTAAGTCTTTTTCATATATATATATATATATTTTAATAGCAAGTTGTAACTATAAGCACTTACTGTTATGGCCTGCAATCTTTCTTTCAGCAATTCGGCTTCCTCCATTCTAGAAATCAAAAACAGACAAGTAGTGAAGGAAAACAGAATGAGACCATAAGCAAAAAGCCTCCTCGTGGGGCTGCAAAAAAAGCTGAGGTGATTTGATCCAATTCCAGAGCAGAGAGAAGGCAGAATTTTTGACTTGTCAGGAGAGTCCCCGAACAGATGAGCAGCTCAGTCCAGACAGACACATGTAATGAGGGTGTGTAGAAGAGGCAGACGTGGAGGGTGCTGGCATGAGTTGACTGACAAGTTGGAACAGTGGAGCACAAGCCCTTTTCCTTCAGAAGCTGCCAACTCTTTGTTTTAATGCGCTCAGTTAGCATGCCATTGCTTCTTTAACTGTTAAATGCCCAAAACAAAATCTTCCAGGACTGGTAGAAGTAAACTTTTAGTATGTTCCTATTTCTCTTTCTTCCCTCTGTGCATGCTCCTGGTGATAAACAGATATTTTAAACTTATTAAATATTCCTATTTCTTATGAAACTTATTTCACCTGTGTGTTTTAACCTGTTGTAATACAGCAATGTAGATGGCACGGGCTTTTTTGAGATGGCAGTTTTAATTTAGTTTCTTAGATGAGCTCTTTAGAGAAGCTGTACTCGTAGCTGGAAGAATCTTTTAGAGCTGCCAACCTAAAGTAAGATAAACTGCACCGATGGGGTCTGTCACTGACTGCAAGTGTTAATCTGTGCAATTACTGGTCAGCTATCTAGGACTCAGGGGAAGCTTTGTCTAAGTAAGGATTTCAGGATCATCATTTCAGTGTTACCAAGATGAGTCTAAAATGTCAGTGGCTCTCACGCTGGATTTCCATTCAGCTGACTTGAAGGGTTTTTTGCTGTGAACTTCTGCTGAAAACAGCATTATGCTCCTTAAGGGATGGCGTACATTTTGACCTTTCCAATTATGTGAGTGGGAGTCAGCCTTCCAAAATCAATCTAGGAAACTTGCAAAACAAGTGGAACTGCCTTTTGTAAAATCCAGTTGTGGAAAAAAATTCTAAGCAAGATAAAGCTGAATTCAAACAACATATAGATGCAATGTGAGTCTAGAATCCCTTTGTTATTCTCTGTATCATGTAACTTGAGCCTTTGTGAGGACGCCGACAGGACAGTCAGTCAGCATGTATAGGTTTTTTCCTGCTAATTCATTTAGATGAGTAAACTCAGCAGGATTTGGTGAGGGGTTTTACTTTACATGTCAGTAAAGTGACCTGAATCTTGGTGGCAAATCAGGCTCCTTACTCACAAAGATGTTACAGAATTGAATACCTGCTGATGAAGTTACATCCTCATAGTCCAATATAAATCAATATTTAATTTCAATTTTCACCTTTCTAGTATATCATCACTCACTCATATACCCAAGCAGCCTATCCCCCTCCACATTGGGATTAAGGATGCATTAATGTTTTGTTTACACTGTGATCCACCCTGAGGTTTTGTTCAAACTTGCAAAGACCCCATATTTTATTCTCCAGTGAAGATTTTTTTTCTTTTTAAATATTAATATATGCCTCATTTGGTCAGCACCTGAAATTAAAAAAAATTACCACATAAAAGCAAAAGTGAAGTTCAAAGGCAAGTGTACTGAGGTATATCAAGAGGCAGATTACATGGGAATTTAAACACGTTCAGTTTATGGATTTGAGAATAAGCTCAACCACCCCACTGAATTAAACATATTCTTGCTGCAGAAGCCAATACAGAGACAGTCTTTCTGTTTAAGCTTTCATAAGTTAGTATAGGTTGCCTTATTATATTTTGAAAAAATCCTCAAACTTATTTCATCTTTTCTTCTGTGAAGTTCATCTTAAGTGTGTATGCGGACTTCAAAACGTTTAAGAATATTTAAAACAGAAAATTATTACATCGGAAATAAGATCTGTTTTGGGCCAGAATCTGTACTCTGATATAAATAGGACTCCATTCTCAATGTGTGGAGGAATAACATCAGTATTTCAAGTTCAAATTGGAATCAGTGGGATTACATTGCTTTGAAATTTTATGATCCAAAATATCTTCCTAAATTTATGCTTCAAAATTATTTCAATGCTTTAAAAAACCTTACTTGTGGATTATATATATTTACAGACCAGAAGAGTATTTAACTTCTCTTTCCCTAAACTCCCAGATTTTGAAGTAACCTGAAGCCAGCTTCTAAAAATGTTGCTTCCCTTTTTAAGGGACCATTATTAAGAAAGTATTTAAAGTCCACTTTAAACATTTTAAATTGTTTAAATCATATATATCCTCTTGCTAGGCAGGATTTGTTGTTCAGTCAATAGGTTGTTTTCCAGTTATCTTAATCCTATTCTAAATGGGATTTATGTGCAAGAGAAGAAATGGACCAGCTGTCATTTTGTCTGCCCCTTAAGCCTGCTTCACCAATAGGAGTATCCCTGGTGTTAGAAGTTAGATCAGTGAATCTGAACAGCTGCGTTTTCAGTCCACAGGACTCTTGGAACAAGGTTTTTCAGAACTTGCCTGCCAAAAATATATCCAGAGTAAACTATCTACCTATTCTGCAAGTTTAAGCAAAAAAAGACCAAAAAAAAAAAAACACCCGAAAAGAAACAAAAGATAACTTTTGGAAGAATAATGTGTTAGCCTGTGTTTCTGTAACTTGCAGCTGTGTGTTTTAATTTTGGTAGAACAGATTCTCTGAGTTACGCAGAAACTGCTTGTTGTATCACATGATGAGTCATAAAGGTTGGATTTTTTGGCTTTACTTCTTGCATTGTTCATTTCCATTTTGCACTGGGTAGTGATGAGAATCTAAAGCACAAGGTGAAACAGTTGCATTATGAAGTCTTAAAGAAAGATGGGTGGGGACTTAGAAGACTGCAATATCCTGAACCAAAATCTAGATGTAGATGACCATGGAAGCACCTTCACAGCTGGAAATGCAAGTTCCGTTGTCCATTTCTGGAGCAAAGTCCGAGTACTGACCTAAAGAAATCCTGTTGCTTCAGAACTTTAGCGACTGTCCCTGGCCACACTCTACAAACAAAACTGTCCTCAGTTCTACTCTAACTCATTGCACTGGGATTTCTATTGAAACAAATAATTAACCTAAGGTAATACATGTACAGTGAGTTATAGATTATCGTAATAGCAAACAATTGCTTCTAAGAAGAAACATCTCATTAAAGGTAAGGAGCAAGAAGCTTTCACGTTTTGAAAAAGTGAGTTTGAAGTGAATGGAGTTAACCAGATTGTGATCAGTCAAAAACACAGCCTATATTTTCTGGCAGGAGTGGCTACTGAGTTTATGGATCACCATTTTGTGCCTTAACTAGTCTGATTTTTTTGCTTCATGATAAGCTCCCTTCTGTAGCTGTGGAATGGAAATGGGAAAAGGGTGTTTCAGACTTGGTATCAAAATGAATTTTATATTCTTACAGTGGGCAAACATACTTCCACTGTGCATCTGTCTGCATGTGGCCTTGAATCTCTGACAGTAGAGGAATGGAGAGGAGAGAAATTTTACTGAAGATCCCTCACTGAAAATGTCTACTGCAGCGTCCTGTCAATTGACCCAAAGGTTTGCAGTCTGGGATACCTCAGCTGATTGAGAAACACTCTCTTTTCCAGCTAGAACCAAGAATTTGCATTTTAAAGGTAAAAAATAAGCTAATAAGAAATAGAAATGTTAAGATTTAAAATATTTTGTTTATTCCGGATGAAATACTTACAAATAAACAACTAAAGCCTTTGGGTAGTTACTCCCCAAACTTTTTTTTTTTAGAGATACTTTCTCTTTAGCTGTATGTTATTTCAAAGGTTGGTTTTGAAGGCTGTTTTCACCATTAGTCTGTAAAGTGCTTCCAGCTGTTTCAGTCAACAGTACATTAATGTTGTACAATAAGCAGCAAATAGCTTCTGTCTAGGATACATCCAGCTAAAGAACTCTTCCAGGCGTCATCATGGTGCTACTTTTTTGTCTAAAAAGCTTAAAATGGTTACACTTCTCAGTGATGGAAAACTCAACCTTCATCAAATAAAAGACTTGAAGGCCAGGGAAAGAACATTAGCCACAAGCAGCACCTATCAAATCAAATTTGTTTTACTTTAATGTAATTTCTTTCATATTATAAATAACATATTTTTATGTATCCATCAAGTCATAAATTCCAAGCTGAACTGGAAGGTGTTTAATGAAAAATGTCTCTTAATAACAGGGAAAAAACTTTAAAGTGAGGATAACCTAGAGAGATGAAATTCAAAACTATCCCCAGAATATAATTTTATATATATATGAATATGTGTAAATATGCATCTATATATTACATATATAAAATAATTATTATTTATTAGTAAAGATATTATGTATCATTATGGGTATTCGTATATGCTTAAATATCACATCTCGGGGTACATATAAGTACCAGACTAGTTGTGTGTTGCATGTCTGTGGGAGACTTTCTCATTGCTTGTTTTCTTTCTGTGGCTTATACATCTATAGCTTGCTAACCTTTCGGTTTCTGTTGGTCACTAAATCTTTAATGACCTGTTTAGCATGTGGTATTGCCTGAACCTTATCAAGTGAATAAAATTTAAGGTTATAGAATCACAGGGGTTGGAAGGGACCTTTGGACATCATCTAGTCCAACCCCCCTGCTAAAGTAGGTTTACCTAGAGCAGGTTGGACAGGAACTCGTCCAGGTGGGTTTTGAGTATCTCCAGAGAGAGAGATTCCATAGAGCAGCCTGTTCCAGTGCTCTGTCACCCTCAAAGTAATGAAGTTTTTCCTCATGTTCAGATGGAACTTTATGCGTTCCAGTTTGTGTATATTGCCCTTTGTCTTGTTGCTGGGCACCACTGAAAAGAGTCTGGCCCCATCCTCTTGACACCCACTCTTTAGATATTGATAAGCATTGATAAGATCCCCTCTCAGTCTTCTCCTCTCTGGGCTAAACAGACCTAGGTCACTCAGCCTTTCCCAATAAGTGAGAAGCTCTTGTTCCCTGATCATCTTTGTAGCCTTCTGCTGGATTCTCTCCAGTAGTTCTTTACTGTTCTTGAACCAGGGAGTCCAGAACTGGACGCAGTACTCCAGATGTGGCCTCACCAGGGCCACTTGACCTGCTAGCCAGGCTTTTTTTAATGCAGCCAAGGATACTATTGGCCACCTTGGCCATAAGGGCACATTGCTGGCTCATGGTCAGCTTGGGACCTGGGAGATACTCTCCAGCAGGTCAGCTCCTAACCTGTACTGATGTATGGGATTATTCCTCCCCGGGTGCAGGCCCCTACACATACCCTTGTTGAACTTCATTAGATTCCTCTCCTTGCAACTCTCCAGCCTGTCCAAGTCCCACTGAATGGCAGCACAGCCTTCTGGTGTGTCAGCCACTCCTCCCAGTTCTGTATCATCAGCAAACTTGCTGAGGGTACCCTCTCACTCAGGTTGTTGAAGAATATGTTGAACAAGATTGGACCCAGTACTATCCCCTGGGGAGCACCACTAGTTACAGCCCTCGAACTGGACTCTGCGCCACTGATCACAACCCTTTGAGCTCTGCCACTCAGCTGATTCTCAATCCACCTCACTGTCCACTCACCTAACTAGTTCCTAAGCCTACCTGTGAGGGTGTTATGGGAGGCAGTGTCAAAAGCTTTGCTGAAGTTGAGGTAAACAACATCCACTGCTCTCCACTGCTTTCTTTTATGCTTTGGTCGGAGTCCAGATTATATTAGCCAATATGCTTAAAGATGTGATAAATCAGGGGGCAGGGGGGAAGTCTCAGTTCTCTCCATCAAATTATACAATACTAGAAATTACTTTAAAATGTGTACATTTTTAGGATCTTAGAGAAGTTCATAACAGAACTTCTGTCAGCTCTCAAGAGGGATTAAAATTTTGCCTTGAAGGCCACTTTTGGACAATTAATTCCTACTAGGCAGGTCTTCTAATGTAATAAATTTCTTGGGTCCTCTTATAAAGCAAAACAATATCTGAGTGTCTCAGTTTTATACAGTTTTATGAAGCTAAAGTCTACTTTCTTTGCTTGTTTGAGTAGACTCACACCCTGAATCTCTGGGAGGAAAAGCTTTGAACTGTTCTGTTGGTACAACTCCCTTCCTGTTGCTATTCATAGCTATGAATATATTAATTCTTCAAAATCAAACTCAAGAAACAGCGGTTGGTCATTGCCTTCAATTGGTTTTAAAACATTGATTATTTTAATAACATTTGATAATAAATCTTTTTGTCAGATATCTTCCATTATTATAGAGAAGTTTCCGAGTGCAGCACAGGCTTTGCTGGGTCCCCTGGTAGGTGTGTATATTATATGCACAGTGGAGCAGGGCTATAAATGCTATTGTGCTAAATACAGATCATCTTGCCCCTATTTCCTAAAATTGTGCAGTCAACTTTATCAGAGTCTATTGATTATTTTTTAATCAGTTAAGCGTGTTTTTTGTAGCCATTTTCATGTTCCCAGACACTTGTCAATTCTTAGTCTCATATAATTTGGAAATGTTTTATGAAACTGAATGTGGGAAGTTTTCCAAAACAGCTTTAACGAACTCTGTCTCTCAATTAAAAATCACACTTCAGTGAATAGCTTAAGGGTAATTACTGTGGCGATATTAAATGTGAGATTCTTAACAGAATATGTTCAGGTGCCTAAGTAAGTGATAGGATTGTGTTTGGTTTTGTTGTTTAGTTGTTTTTTTTTTGTTTTTTTTTTTAAATGTAAACTGAAATATATAAACCCACAGAGAGTCTGAAACACTCAGGATCTGAGCTTTAACCCTGTTGTGGAATGCATTGCTTGCAACCCAGCATTTTCCAGCTGCTGCAGACACACACTGTTAAGAATAGTGCAGAGTTTTAAATCCTACCCAGCCAACTGCGTGGGGAATTTTTAGCAGGGCTCCAAGAACCAGCTTTAGTAGCTGTGTGCTTTGGTTGTGTTTCATTAAGTGAAATCAAATACCCCATACCCAGGGCCAAATCCTGAGGAAAGTAACAAACCCCACATGGGTACTGAGCTGTCCACAGTAAGGTAAACTGCATGACGTGTTCTTTTGATTCTTGTTTTTTGGTGCTCTCGGAGAACACAAAGACCAGTGGTGGTGTTTGGGCCTCAGTATGATCGCAGAGCAACATTAGGGCCTTGCAGACATATTTTTGTGAATGCTTAGTGCCAGGTCTGGTTTCTCCGAGTACAAATGTTGCTGGTGGAAGCCTTAAAAGTATAAATGATTTGGTCTAGAGGACAGAACAGAGATAGGAATTCCTTAGGAGAAAATCTTTCTTCTGGAGCTGAGGGCAGGGGTGTAGAAGGGGCGGGGACAAGACTGGAGGTGGTGAAGCCATTTGGCAAGTTCCTCTAATGACCAGCGTCTTGTTTGCAGGCTGAAGAATGGAAACTGTGTAGGTTACATCATTTGATTCCATCTCCTGAGGCATGGGCAGAGCGCTTTCCCTGCTCCCCTGGGAAGCTGCTTGACTCGCCTGTGCCTGTAGCACTGTCTGCCCTGAGCACTGGAGCTCAGGTGTTCTGCAAGATGGGATGAACCTTATCTGATAGCTCTCAGCAGAGCAAAGGAGAATTACTGCTTTCTCCACCCACGCTTCCAGCCACATTTTCCAGACGCTTTCCTTCCTCTGACTACTCTGTGAACTAATTGAATGTGCTAATCTGCCAGGAAAATAATTTTAAAAAAACACACCACCAAACCCAAAACAAAACTAAACCTCCAAATCCATGAGTGTCTGCTATGCCAGTGAGCTGAATAGGCTCAACAGGACACGAGAGGAGCAACGGCATTTGGGAGTAAGAAGGAATGGGATTCTGGCTGGGAGTTGAGCAGCAAGAGAAGATGGAGGAAATGTGACTCTTCTTGGCAGCAGTGAGTTGCTAGATGAACTCAAGCCACCTTGCAGACCTCAGGCTTACCTTACCACAGTGGTCCAGGGACAGTGAGAGACCTCATACTGACGTGTATAATAAGCATGTATGCTTAGCTATTTGTCTGAAACCTGAAACTGTTGTGAAAACATGATGACTTCAGACTCTGGCAATCCTTCCTGTGCTTCCAGATACTCAGTACCCTGTGCTGTGGGTGGGCAAAAAATATCCCACATACTATTTGTTTTGCGTAAGCCTTTCCAAGTATTAATGGAAAAAAATACGTGATAAGATTATGCAAAACTTTATTGTTAGCTGATAAGAGTATTTATGGCCGATAAGTCCTGTTGCAAATACAGGCCTATTTTCTTCAGTGAAGAAGACCTACTTTTTTGCCCAAGAGTTTGTTGTTTGGAAGCAGCGGCTGAGAAAACCTCTCAACTGTCAGTCATTTGAACTGTTAACTTCAGCTGTGCCCTGTTCGTTTGCGGTGCCGGGGAGGTCATCTGAATAACACGGGGGCTCTGGCAGAAGGGCTGCTGCCTGCTGCGTGGGGCGCGGGGCGGCGCAGCGCGAGCAGCTGAAGCTGAGTAGTCATCCGGATGCCTGCCAGAGTATGTCACCAACTTACGTTTTCCAACAGATTCAAATATTTCCCTTCTGCTTCTCATAGCACTGCATATTTACTTAACCCCTTACCTTAGAGCGGTGATTATTAACTAGGAGTAAAAAAAAGCTTAATCTTATATGGTTTAT